TGGAAAACCGGGACAGCCAGGATATCCTGGCCAACCTGGAACACCTGGAATACCAGGAACTCCGCCACAACCTGGATCACCTGGAAAACCGGGACAGCCGGGATATCCTGGCCAACCTGGAACACCTGGCCAACCTGGAATACCCGGAACACCAGGAACACCTGGAATACCCGGAACACCAGAAACACCTGGAATACCTGGAACTCCGCCACAACATGGATATCCTAGTCAACCAGGGTATCCTGGAAAACCAGGACAGCCAGGATATCCTGGCCAACCTGGAACACCAGGAACACCTGGAATATCTGGAACTCCGCCACAACATGGATATCCTAGTCAACCAGGGTATCCTGGAAAACCAGGACAGCCAGGATATCCTGGCCAACATGGAACACCAGGAACACCTGGAATATCTGGAACTCCGCCAAAACCTGGATATCCTGGGCAACCTGGATCACCTGGAAAACCAGGACAGCCGGGATATCCCGGCCAACCTGGAACACCCGGAACACCAGGAACACCTGGAATACCTGGAACTCCGCCAAAACCTGGATATCCTGGACAACCCGGACCACCTGGAAAACCGGGACAGCCGGGATATCCTGGCCAACCTGGAATACCCGGAACACCAGGAACACCTGGAATACCTGGAACTCCGCCACGACCTGGATATCCTGGCCAACCTGGATCACCTGGAAAACCGGGACAGCCGGGATATCCTGGCCAACCTGGAACACCTGGCCAACCTGGAACACCTGGAATACCAGGAACTCCGCCACAACCTGGATATCCTGGGCAACCTGGATCACCTGAAAAACCAGGACAGCCGGGATATCCTGGCCAACCTGGAATACCCGGAATACCAGGAACACCTGGAATACCTGGAACTCCACCACAACATGGATATCCTAGCCAACATGGATCACCTGGGCAACCTGGATCACCTGGAAAACCGGGACAACCGGGATATCCCGGCCAACCTGGAACATCTGGAATACCAGGAACTCCGCCACAACCTGGATATCCTGAGCAACCTGGATTACCTGAAAAACCAGGACAGCCGGGATATCCTGGCCAACCTGGAATACCCGGAACACCAGGAACACCTGGAATACCCGGAACACCAGGAACACCTGGAATATCCGGAACACCAGGAACACCTGGAACACATGGAACTCCGCCACAACCTGGATATCCTAGTCAACCAGGGTATCCTGGGAAACCAGGACAGCCAGGATATCCTGGCCAACCTGGAACACCAGGAACACCAGGAATACCTGGAATACCTGGAACTCCATCACAACCTACATATCCTGGGCAACCTGGATCACCTGGAAAACCGGCACAGCCGGGATATCCTGGCCAATCTGGAACACCTGGCCAACCTGGAGCACCTGGCCAACCTGGAGCACCTGGCCAACCTGGAGCACCTGGCCAACCTGGAACACCTGGAATACCAGGAACTCCGTCACAACCTGAATATCCTGGGCAACCTGGATCACCTGAAAAACCAGGACAGCCAGGATATCCTGGCCAACCTGGAATACCCGGAACACCAGGAACACCTGGAATACCCGGAACACCAGGAACACCTGGAATATCCGGAACACCAGGAACACCTGGAACACATGGAACTCCGCCACAACCTGGATATCCTAGTCAACCAGGGTATCCTGGGAAACCAGGACAGCCAGGATATCCTGGCCAACCTGGAACACCAGGAACACCAGGAATACCTGGAATACCTGGAACTCCATTACAACCTACATATCCTGGGCAACCTGGATCACCTGGAAAACCGGGACAGCCGGGATATCCTGGCCAACCTGGAACACCTGGCCAACCTGGAGCACCTGGCCAACCTGGAACACCTGGAATACCAGGAACTCCGTCACAACCTGGATATCCTGGGCAACCTGGATCACCTGAAAAACCAGGACAGCCGGGATATCCTGGCCAACCTGGAATACCCGGAACACCAGGAACACCTGGAATACATGGAACTCCGCCACAACATGGA